GGGGGGGGGGGGGGGGGGGGGGGGGGGGGGGGGGGGGGGGGGGGGGGGGGCACCGTGTTCCGTATTGCCACACCGGTCGGTCTGAGCGCACGGCAGAGTGTGCAACAGCAGCTGTTCCATTTTTGGTAAAACCAGAGTACAGTACCAGACATCCACAAGGAAATGATGGAAAGTGCGAGCGGGCCGCGGGGGCACAGACAAGGTTTGCTGTGGAGATCTTCCCCGTTTCGGAGAAGAGAGCAGGGTACGTGGGATACTTCGTGATGCAATGCAGCACACCTCATTTACACAACGTCTCTGCGGGAGAGTATCAGCTGCCATCTATTTATCTATCAGTGACGCGCCTCCCATTAGTGGCTGTCAACATTTCATGCCAGTCAGGTAGAATCCTTGGCACTCACGTGCTCGCGTTGCCATCGGTCATACCGACGCACTCGGCCACAGCAGTAGTGACTATTCCCGCAGCAGCAGATCGATGCCACGACTCGCGCACAGCAGTCCAACTATGGCATTCTATAGCCGTTGAGGATAGGGTCATGGTGCTTCTTCCTACAGCTATTTGCAACTACTTATCTTCCCGTGTAGTCTACACACGCTCAGACAGGCACGGAGGTGGGTACACGCTAGTTTGGTCGTCCACACCCCTTGTACAATGGGACGGGAAAACATCTGATCTGACACTGGACAGTTTATCGTGGAGCCGCGAGCCAGTGCCGCAGAGTGTCACTCTCATCAAATACAGACCCCCACAAGGTGACCCCCACCGCGCGCGCGAATATGTAGCGCCCTTCCCCACCGTCACAGGCCACCAACCCTGACAAGAAACAAGAGAGGTAGAGAACACGCAACCTACACCGGACACGCGCTTTACAGTCCAGATGATACGCTACGTTGGACCAACCGGAGTCAGACGGAATGCATGAGAGCTGTAACGTGGGGAGTATCGTAAAAGCCGGTCAACTTCTCCCACATGGAGACACGGACCATGCGCGACCAGAAAAGAACAAAACAAAAGACGGGGATTTGTAACAGGACACATACACAGCCCACAACGACGGGGGCTAGCCCTCTAACCGGCCGCCTCTTCCCCTCACAGGCAGAAAACTATCCAACCGACAACAGTTACAACTTAAACCAACGGTTACACAACACCGAACCCCGTAGATACCGCAGATACCAAAGCAAACGAAGAAACGCCTGCACGAAAAAATAATCATTACACAAACAGCCATGCCCCGCTCACGGCGGCCACCCCCAGGATCGACAATCCGGCCTCTCCTTACGCTACCCGGCCAACAATACATGCCGCCATCCAGACACCCAACGGCCTCTTGCAAGCCCTCACCTATAGCCTTGCAAGCCACGGTAGCGTGATTACTCCCACCGCCGCAACCATGCTTCGCTTCTAGGGTGGCTGCGGCCGTCGCCTCGTGAGAGAGCCTATCCTGATGGAATCGAACAAACAGCGAGAAGAATCACGCTGACGAGCCGTCCGCTGCCGCGCCGGCCGCCGCCGCCGACGTCGTCGCCGCCTGCGATCTCTCGGCCGCACCCGCTCCCACCACCTTGGCTAGCTTCGCCCTGGCCTTGGAGAGCACGTTCTTCACTCTCGCCCTGGCTCCCGCTAGCCTTGTCGCCGGCTGTTGTTGAATGACGACACGACGGATGCAAACACAGCAAGGCCCGAGTTTACCCGGAAATACGAGGCAACGAGAGAAGTGTTGGCGTGAGGAAATGTACCACATGGCACTGCTGTAAGAACATGAACCAATACGACGATCCACGACAAAAATAAAAATGGAAAAAAAGAGCAGGGAAATCAGATTGCTCGCCGGAGCATATACGTACCTACGATGTCTACCGTGTACACTACGAAAAGCGGGAGACGTGGAGGGAGGGAGTGGAAGGCCATTTGGGGGGGCGCGAGACCAACATGAGCATCACGTATTCATCTGCACGATCGCTGCAGGCGAATATAAGGAAGCTCCACATGTACCCGTCATGCCAAACCACACGACATTGCTGAAAGGGAACAAACGGAGAGGGACGCGCGTACGTTTGTCTACACTCAACATCACACACTCAAATCACAACAGAGCGAATCAAATCAAATTCCAACCGAGCGACTTCTTAACTCGTCGCATGGGCAAGCGTAACCGTTAGGCAAGCACTTACCTGCGCTTGCTCTTCCTCGGCGTGCACCTGTTCCTTCCGATCTGCCTCCGAAGAACAGCAGGAGGATGACGGAGCACGCGGGGGGGGAGACCCGGGCGGGGTTGCCTCCGCTGTCAAGGCTGCCATCCATGCCGCGTCGTTCGCTAGGCGCTCTGTCCGCTCCTCCTCAGTCTTCCCTTTCTCCGCCTCGATGAAGTCGCGAATCGCCTGCACTTCCAGCTCTCTACACAAGTGGCTCTTGGTCCTGAACCACCGCATGAGGGGCTGCGCCACCTGTTTTTGTCGTCGTCACAATCTTTGCTGGCTTTATCGTAATCTTTGTCCTTGTTACTATTTTGCATGAACTCACAAGTAAACACGGTGGTCGTTTCATAGTTGACCGCTCCTGCTGTTACTCTTGATAATAATCCTACAATTCTTGTACTTTTGGTTGTTGTTGTTGGGGATGACAATAGCCGGGTTGATAGTGTGTTGTACGTATGTAGAGTTACCGATTTTCGGCGCGCTTCGCGCCCCCCCCTCCCCTCCCCGACGGACGGCGGCTAGCGCCCAAGAACCTCGGCGATCGAGTAGATGATCCAGCCTCCCTGCCTTGTCACATGCCCACCGCGCCGTGGCTGTGACCAAAAAGCAACCGCCACGTGGATCAGTATGTCTTTGAACGACCGTGCGTCTCCGTTGTGTACCTTACACCACACGCCACAAACCACACCACACCCGAATACTTGTACGTCCGATCGCCGAGAAAACTCGAGGCGCCACCACTCGAGAAATTGGTTTTGATTGGGGGTTCGATCTCACGAAAGGGAAGAACGATCTCTGCAGTACCCACACAAATGCCGATGTTCTACATTCCCGCTTGGTTCCTCCGCTCTGATCGAGTATGGAGCGAGGATTGAACAAAAAGCGTGTTCTTGAGTAGCGGTGCGTTATGTGGCAACGATTCAACAACAACAAAGGACCCAGTACCTTGGAGTGTATGGGCATCTGATAAGTGCGCACCATACATGGATAGACTGCTGCCGGGAGCACACACCAGTAGTGCGGAATAACAGCTGTGTCAAAAGGCCTGAGTAATGTATTTACGCCATTTTCTGGATCACGCCTTATAGATCAAAGATACCCATGGGCGTGAGTAGCTCATACTTGTACCCCCAATCGCCGAGAAACTGAACTCTTCCACTTATCGTTGAGACCCACGTTACGTCATCGATACCATACCTGCATCATGATCGTCGGCCCCACCGGCATCCGGATGTCAAAGTCCACTCGCTTACTGTACATGGTCACGTCTGGATCATCCTCGCATGCCCGCCACGATGAACGGTCCCGCACCGTGCCCAGCCGTTGCAGGCTCATGTTGATGCCATCTTCAGACAGCGTCTGGACAAGCGATGTAAGCGCAGTAGGGAAAATAAGCAATGCGCCACATTGCAGCATTCAGTTTTGAGGGAAGCAGAACTCAAAAGACGCGAACAAAACACACAAGAGGCGGAAATTGGTTGAAGGCGACGAGTAGGCCATGCAGTCATAAATGGAGGTACTTCTATCAGCACGATTCCTGGTCCGCTTCCACACATTGTACATAGCAATGTGTATCGAGGTGGGCTCAGCAGCAGAGAACGGCCGTCAGAAGGGTTGGCTAAAGCGCGCAGTCAGAAATCGTAAATCGGGAGACGTTGGCGTGACAGGATGAGGCTGAAGGGAGGTGAGGAGCGAAACCGTCGGCACTGCCGCCACCCCTCCCACCAACAGATGCGGACTGCTGGGAAAACATTTACACTCGTAGATGCTACAATTTTTTCTATTCGGAAGATGTAGGACAAAACACACGCCGCCACACTCGATCACGTCGACAGCACTGTTGTAACATAGGACGTGGTAAGGTGTCCTGTATCATAGTTGCAGCAGGAAGTAGGAGTGCAACAGCAGTAGCACGAACGTACCTTGGTGGTTGGGTTCGCGTGAAGAACGTCGTGCCAGATGATGTTCTTTCCGAGGACTAGCCGGGCGTACCAAGGCATGTGCACGTTGTACTTGAAGCTGGCGGTAGGGGGGTAGGGTGGGATAGAGTGCGGTGGCGTCGATTAACCCACGGGACAACGTAGATGCCACATTTGGTGCACCAGCGGCAAGCGTGTTACGTTTCGGATAACCAAGATAGCAGCTAGGGAGACTAAAGTGAGGCACAAAAAGTCAGGCAGGTGGGAGGAAGACCGACAAATCAACTAGGACCGGCGGAGAAGATGTGCTATCCACATCGACGGCAACAGAAATACAGTAACGGAGTATCGCGTAGAACGCAAGACGTACGTGCGCAAACAGGGATCGGCGCGGATGAGAACATAGGTGTGGGCACGACGCTGGTTCTAGGCGCGCCACTTGGAACCTCTGCTGCCGCTATCGTTGCTTGTCTGCTACTCCAAATTCTGCTGCTACATGTATCTCACACGTTGCGGTCCACCTCCAAAGTGACCATCTCGTCTGGGGGTCCCTTAGCCTTCACCCTCAAAACGAACGCCGTCGTAGTTTCCCACGAGAAGGGATATCTGTTGTGCCAAGCAAGCACGAAGTGGCCGACAGCGCCGAGTGCGATCGACGTAGGACACCACGCGCGCATGACACAGGGAAGAGGGGGCGGGGGGGGGAGGGATAGCGGGGGGAGGAGAGAAAGTGAGAGACGACAGAGAAAGGGAGAGAGAGGGAGGAAGGGAGAGAGATTTGCAGACAGACAGACAGACAGACAAGACAGACAGGAGAGTGTGCCAGTGAAACCCACTCCCACGCTTTTGCATGCATGCTTCGCGACAAAAGATGATACAGATCGCGTGGCCCACCGTGTGTACAAAGATTTCTAGTCGTGGGGTTGGTCCTAAGACGTGAAGTTGACGGGAAACAATAGAACATCACAGATCGTTCCCTACTTGCCCTCACCACTGCTTACTATATATGCCGCCCCAACATGGACGAGCGCATTCTGCAAGATGACATGGCCCCTCGGACGTATTGTGGAGAGAAGGCAAACTCATAACCGTCACAAGTTCCCTACTCATGCCATCGTAACCGTAGCAAGAACGGCCCCTTTCGCTCGACGCACGCACTAACCAGGTACAGCCGGTAATCGAGCAGGCATGTGTGTGAGCAGCGNGTGGCTCAAAAATGTCTTCCCTAGTCTGTCTATCCTAACGATATCCCTTCCCGCCTTATCAACCCACCTCCTATGCCCCACTACAGCTACCGTCCTTTCCGTTCTATTCCATGCCTCAAACATCTCCCTGTACGTCCCATCTATTCTTCCCAGCTCAGTCACGTACACTTCCCTCTCCTTCTTGTACAACGGACATTCCGCGACTACATGAACACGGTCTTCGCATTCGAAGCCGCAATCACATTT